TTCAAACGTACATCTAAGCTTTAATTTGCAAAGTAACTACAGATGTCACATAAACGTAATTGAGTCAAACGGACAATTTCTTGCAGATATATAGTAAAGTAGAAGTATAAAGTAGTATAACATGGCAATACAAGTACAAGTACCTCAAAGCTGTCCTTTCCATCACTGCTCTTTTACTTTAAATAAACTTTCAGGCAAACTATTTACAAGTCTTTAGAGTTTTTAGTTTGTTTATGGTTTACTTGTATTGACCAATAGATACCACCAGGGGAAGCTCTCGTCAAACTCAAACTACATTGCCCTCAATATACAAGTAACACACTGGCTTGTTTTTTCACTGCAGAGAAACAGAAGAGTCTTTTCTGTAGCATTTATACACCTTAAAGGACCTTTTCAAGTCTAACCTAACAGAATACTCACATGCCCAGATGTATAATGAAGGAATTATTGGTTGCTGAAATATTTTCTGCTGTTCTCACTGGCTGTGAAGGAATTCTCTTCAAGATGGATTTAAAGTCCTCCTTCTGAGTAGAAATTACTTTTTCTACTTCAGTTGAAGCGAATCTGAGGCTTCAGTCATCTGATTTAAAACTTTAGCACTTCAATTAGTCAAACAAAATGTAATGTTTGTTTATGAAGTGTACATAGCGGTTGTTGCACATCTCAGTTGCTCTGTAGAGTTAACGCTGATGAATTAATCTTTCCTTCTCTTTTGTCCTACCTTCCTTCTTCCTTCATCTGACTCTTTTTCCTGCCTTCCGTCTTTTATTCTTTCATACCCTTCTCTCATCTCCTTCAGGTCAAAGCTGCAGAAGAAAACTTCCTCCTTCTCTCTTCTCTCTCCTGACGGCTGGTCCCTCAGAGGGGTAAGAACGAATGTGATTCAATCTGATTTATTAGCTGCATTATGACAAATGTACACGTTATTAAGACACAACCTGCTGTTGTCCTGAAGAGTCAGAGCTCTGTGAGGCTGCACTTTACCACTAACATCAGCATGCTAACAAGCTCACAATGAAAGTGTAACATGCTGATGTTTAGAAGGGTTGGTGATGGGGAAATGGATAAGACACATGCCTTTGGTGTGAGAGACCCGGGTTCAATCCCCGACTGTGACCTATCCACCATTGTGTCCCTGAGCAAGACACTTAACCCCTACTTGCTCCAGAGGCGTGCAACCTCTGACATATATAGCAATTGTAAGTCTCTTTGGATAAAAGTGTCAGCTAAATGAGTAAGTGTAATGTAGAAGGAAATGGTGACAATTTTAACATGTTAGCATGCTACCATTTGCTAATTAGCAAAACACACAAAGTACAGCTGAGGCTGATGGAAATGTTATTAGTTTTGCAGGTATTTGGTCATAAAGTACTAGACGCATTAAAATTATGACCTGATGGCACTATGAAAACTCAGTAGATCAGATTTATTACCATTTATCCATGGATATCTGTTGGCAATTCATCCAATAATTATGGTGTGTGTACACTTCAACTGTGAGAGACGGAATCAAAAACAAAAATCCAGAAAATCACATTGTATGATTTTTAAATAATTAATTTGCATTTTATTGCATGACATAAGAATTTGATACATCAGAAAAGCAGAACTTAATATTTGGTACAGAAACCTTTGTTTGCAGTAACAGATCATACGTTTCCTGTAGTTCTTGACCAGGTTTGCACACACTGCAGCAGGGATTTTGGCCCACTCCTCCATACAGACCTTCTCCAGATCCTTCAGGTTTCGGGGCTGTCGCTGGGCAATAAGGACTTTCAGCTCCCTCCAAAGATTTTCTATTGGGTTCAGGTCTGGAGACTGGCTAGGCCCCTCCAGGACCTTGAGATGCTTCTTACGGAGCCACTCTTTAGTTGCCCTGGCTGTGTGTTTCGGGTCGTTGGACGCTGGAAGACCCAGCCACGACGCATCTTCAATGCTCTTACTGAGGGAAGGAGGTTGTTGGCCAAGATCTCGCGATACATGGCCCCATCCATCCTCCCCTCAATACGGTGCAGTCGTCCTGTCCCCTTTGCAGAAAAGCATCCCCAAAGAATGATGTTTCCACCTCCATGCTTCACGGTTGGGATGGTGTTCTTGGGGTTGTACTCATCCTTCTTCTTCCTCCAAACATGGCGAGTGGAGTTTAGACCATAAAGCTCTATTTTTATCTCATCAGACCACATGACCTTCTCCCATTCCTCCTCTGGATCATCCAGATGGTCATTGGAAAACTTCAGACCGGCCTGGACATGCGCTGGCTTGAGCAGGGGGACGTTGCGTGCACTGCAGGATTTTTATCCATGATAGCGTAGTGTGTTACTAATGGTTTTCTTTGAGACTGTGATCCCAGCTCTCTTCAGGTCATTGACCAGGTCCTGCTGTTTAGTTCTGGGCTGATCCCTCACCTTCCTCAAGATCATTAATGCCCCACGAGGTGAGATCTTGCATATAGACCCCCAGACTCGAGGGAGATTGACCTTCATCTTGAACTTCTTCCATTTTCTAATAATTGCGCCAACAATTGTTGCCTTCTCACCAAGCTGCTTGCCTATTGTCCTGTAGCCCATCCCAGGCTTGTGCAGGTCTACAATTTTATCCCTGATGTCCTTACACAGCTCTCTGGTCTTGGCCATTGTGGAGAGGTTGGAGTCTGTTTGATTGAGTGTGTGGACAGGTGTCTTTTATACAGGTAACGAGTTCAAACAGGTGCAGTTAATACAGGTAATGAGTGGAGAACAGGAGGGCTTCTTAAAGAACTAACAGGTCTGTGAGAGACGGAATTCTTATTGGTAGGGAAGGTGATCAAATATTTATAAATATTTAATATCTAATTTGATAAAAAATTACAGACCTCTACATGCTTTGTAAGTAGGAAAACCTGCAAAATCAGCAGTGTATCAAATACTTGTTCTCCCCACTATGTATGTATATATGTGTGTGTGTGTATGTACAGTGGGTACGGAAAGTATTCAGACCCCTTTAAATTTTTCACTCTTTGTTTCATTGCAGCCATTTTCCAAAAATCAAAAAAGTTCATTTTATTTCTCAGTAATGTACACTCAGCACCCCATCTTGACAGAAAAAAACAGAAATGTAGAAATTTTTGCAAATTTATTAAAAAAGAAAAACTGAAATATCACATGGTCATAAGTATTCAGACCCTTTGCCGTGACACTCATATTTAACTCAGGTGCTGTCTATTTCTTCTGATCATCCTTGAGATGGTTCTACACCTTCATTTGAGTCCAGCTGTGTTTGATTATACTGATTGGACTTGATTAGGAAAGCCACACACCTGTCTATATAAGACCTTACAGCTCACAGTGCATGTCAGAGCAAATGAGAATCATGAGGTCAAAGGAACTGCCTGAAGAGCTCAGAGACAGAATTGTGGCAAGGCACAGATCTGGCCAAGGTTACAAAAAAATTTCTGCTGCACTTAAGGTTCCTAAGAGCACAGTGGCCTCCATAATCCTCAAATGGAAGACGTTTGGGACGACCAGAACCCTTCCTAGAGCTGGCCGTCCGGCCAAACTGAGCTATCGGGGGAGAAGAGCCTTGGTGAGAGAGGTAAAGAAGAACCCAAAGGTCACTGTGGCTGAGCTCCAGAGATGCAGTCGGGAGATGGGAGAAAGTTGTAGTAAGTCAACCATCACTGCAGCAATCCACCAGTCGGGGCTTTATGGCAGAGCGGCCCGACGGAAGCCTCTCCTCAGTGCAAGACACATGAAAGCCCGCATGGAGTTTGCTAAAAAACACCTGAAGGACTCCAAGATGGTGATAAATAAGATCCTCTGGTCTGATGAGACCAAGATAGAACTTTTTGGCCTTAATTCTAAGCGGTATGTGTGGAGAAAACCAGGCACTGCTCATCACCTGTCCAATACAGTCTCAACAGTGAAGCATGGTGGTGGCAGCATCATGCTGTGGGGGTGATTTTCAGCTGCAGGGACAGGACGACTGGTTGCAATCGAGGGAAAGATGAATGCGGCCAAGTACAGGGATATCCTGGATGAAAACCTTTTCCAGAGTGCTCTGGACCTCAGACTGGGCCGAAGGTTTACCTTCCAACAAGACAATGACCCTAAGCGCACCGCTAAAATAACGAAGGAGTGGCTTCACAACAGCTCCGTGGCTGTTCTTGAATGGCCCAGCCAGAGCCCTGACGTAAACCCAACTGAGCATCTCTGGAGAGACCTGAAAATGGCTGTCCACCAACGTTTACCATCCAACCTGACAGAACTGGAGAGGATCTGCAAGGAGGAATGGCAGAGGATACCCAAATCCAGATGTGAAAAACTTGTTGCATCTTTCCCAAAACGACTCATGGCTGTATTAGATCAAAAGGGTGCTTCTACTAAATACTGAGCAAAGGGTCTGAATACTTATGACCATGTGATATTTCAGTTTTTCTTTTTTAATAAATTTGCAAAAATTTCTACATTTCTGTTTTTTTCTGTCAAGATGGGGTGCTGAGTGTACATTACTGAGAAATAAAATGAACTTTTTTGATTTTTGGAAAATGGCTGCAATGAAACAAAGAGTGAAAAATTTAAAGGGGTCTGAATACTTTCCGTACCCACTGTATATATACATACACACACACACACAGACCAAAGTGGTGGACTGACCGACCAAAATCCCTAGAGCTGAAAGAGAAGCTGAAACTATTAACAAACAAAATTGTTAAATAAGACACAGGTTGTAAAAAAAAATTTAAGTAAGTGGGTGTTATAGCAATTTAATTGTTAACTGACATAAAGAGCATAAACTAATTTTTCATAGGATGTTTTTGATTTTGTTTTTCTTTTCATGATTTTTATAAACCAGAGTTAATGTCTCTACTGCTGGTGTCTCCGTGTCTCCTGTAGCTCCTAATTATAGATGGCTTGTTTCCCCCGACAGCCGTCACTTCCTGTTTGTCCAATGGGAACTGAGTGGACACGCGCGCGCGCACACACACACGCACATTGTCAGAGGTTCCTGTTCCTGAGGGTCTGTACATCTACTCGGAGAGGTGGTGAGGCTGAGGAGGAGAGAGGAGCTGCCGAGGAGATTTAGATTGTGACTGAGGAGGTGGAGGAGGAGAAGAGAGGAAGGTGACGGACAGAAGAAGGTAGAAAACAGGAGGTGAGAGAAGGAGTGAGACAAAGAGCTTTTAAAAGTTTGACTGAGGAGGAAAAAAGAGAGATGGAGGAGTAGTGGCTCTTTGAGAGACAAACTGGAGGCGGAAGAGAAGAAGACAAAGAGAGCGTGAAGTTCAGAAAAAGAAAGAAGAAGAAAGGAGTAAGAAGAGAATAGCAATGTGACTGTGAAGGAGGTGATTCAAAGGAGGAGAGAGGAATCAGACAACAGAAGGAAGAGAAGAGAAAGGAGGAGTGATCACAGAAGCCGTGTGAGGAGGAGAAAAGAAAGGACAGGTGATGTGACTTTGGGGTAAAAACAAAGTGACCTGGGCAAAGAGGAAAAGAAAAAGAGGAGCAGCAGAGAGAGTTAACTGACACTTGAACTGTGTTTGAGGAGCAGATCTAATCTTGATGATGGGCTGCTGTCTGTTTGTTTACTATCGGGTGAGTTGTTGCCGTCAGTGTGAGTGATTTCTAGCATGTCCCAGAATGCCTTTTACCGATAACCAGAAAGGATTCTGATGGGTTATATCACATGCAGAACAACCCTGCAGAACCATCGTCTTGTTGTTGTACAGTGTGTTTGTTGCTGTACATTGATGTCTTCACATGGATGCTCTTCATCAGCACTGAACATGTTAATACTCCATTTGTATTTCATCTGTGCAGTGAGGTACTGAGAGAGTATAGATAGCCAGAGAGATACTTTATTTATCACAATACAAAGAATGGTGCAAAAACAAATGTCAAACGCAAATACTGACGTAAAAGTAAAGAAGTATGCCCTTTTAAGTATGGGCATACAAGTGTGCAAATTGCAGTAAGAGTCTCAGAAATGTAAATATAAAGTCCATTAGCACAGCTACAAGAGCAAATGGGACTATTCAATACTATTCAATGAGATATTGAATAAAAAATATTGTTAAATTGTTGTTTTTACACCTAGGTTTTGGTACAGATGAAATAAACGAGATATAACTCTTTGGATCAATAGAGTTTATAGATGCTAGTTGGTGGATTTTGTTTGTTCCCCTCTGATCCAGTCTTTATGCTAAGCTAAGATAATTGGCTGTGGCGTCATATTTAGCGTACATCCCTAAAATTGGTGTCAGTCGTCTCATCTAGCTCATCAACTATCTGCTAGAATGCAAATAAGTGTATTTCCACAAACTATTCCTTAAAAGTCACAGTACATAGCATTTAGAAATAATTTACTTTGGGGCTATTAACACAAACATTACCAGGATAATCGCTGTGATATTCAAATTCCACTTGTTTCAGTCAGTTAATGGGTAGCTGTGATGTTCAGAGGACAGGCCTTATATTCCTCCTCCTCTTTGGTTTCTTTAGCAGCAGTGAGTTAAAGGTAAAGTCTTCCAGGTTATATAATGTACGGCCAACAACAACAAAGTTCCAGCATAATACTGAACAAACAGCAGACTTCCTGCTTTTGTTGCACTCCCAATTCCCAACATCCTCCTCCTCTCCTCTCCTCTCTTCTCCTCCATGCTACTTTACCTTTTCTCCGTCTCCTCCTCCACTCCTCTCCTCTCCTCCATGCACCTTTCTCTTTTCTCCCTCTCCTCTCCTGTCCTCCGCTAATCCCTCTGAACCTCTCCTTTCTCATTTTGTCTCCTCCCACCTTCTTTCATCACCTCTCCTCTCATGTTCCCTCCTCTCATCTTTTCATCTCCTCTTCCTTTTCCTCCTCTCCTCTCCTTCATGCTCCTTTCTCTTTTCTCCCTCTCCTCCTCTCCTTTACTCCATGCTCCTTTCTCTTTTCTGTCTCTCCTCTCTTGTCCTCCCCTAATCTCTCTGAACCTCTCCTTTCCTATTTTCTCTCCTCTCATGCTCCTTCCTCTCGTCTTTTAATCTCCTCTTCTCTCACACATACAGCTGTTTGCCCTCAGTGACCCGCCTGGCCGGCTGTGTGATTTCTTCCTGTTTGTGTTGTCATGGCAGTACACAGGAAGTGCTTTGGCTCAAGTGTGGCTGCTCCTCTGCAGCTTCCCACCAGATGAATAGTCACAACAGAGGTTACCTGGCCTGATCAGCGGACATAATCACTGTGAAGATTTTCTCTGTTTGTCACAGTCTGGTTCTACTCTGAGACACGTCGTTTCACATGTACTAATAATATTTTCTAGTTGTTTATCCCCTAAAATGACCATCGACACTACTGTTCGTCTGACAGAAGGAAATTCTTGTTGTTTTTACACTCAGAGGTAATATTTTTGTAAATTAAATTTGCCAGCGAACGGAGCAGAGCAGGTAGCTTTATACGGCAATTTGTGGGTGCTAATAATCAGATCTAACAAACCTGCACCTCCTCATGAGCAGGGGGTGTTTATCAGGCTGAAACGAGTGATGCACAATAAGCTTGTCCAGTAAGGAGAGTTTGGTTAATTGACTTGGAACACTTGTACAAGCAGTAAAAATCTCACAGTAGAACTAAGAAAGGTTTAGGATAGGAATATGAAAATGTTCTTGCATGAGGTCCTTTTACATTAGCTAAAATCCTTGAGCCCTGACCTTGTGTCCAAGCAACTCCAAGACCAGTAGTTCCCAACCTCTCGTGACTCCTTAAAACAAAGCAAGGTGACCTGTTGTCGCTATTTTCACTATTATCACTTATCATCACTTGTGACTAGTTTAACCAAAGAGATATTTTTGTCCTTTTTTAATCCTTTTATAATAAAAAGTTATCCAGGAACTCGCATGAAAAAACAAGAAATTAAAGTCTGTAAAGTCTGAAAAAATAAACATAATTTTGCATAGCAGAAATGTGTTTTTTTTCCACTTCGCGATTATCATCTTTTAATCCTTCCTTTTTGCAGGTCCCGACCCTCATGTTGATAACCACTGTCATGAAGTTAATAGCCTATTTCTATTTTGTCCGTTACTTCTTTTACTCCACTACATTTATCTGTTGGCAAGATCTTGTACGCAAGATAAGATCATAAAACGTTCTTGTTGGGCAAAAGTCTTCCATCTCTAAGATGTCTACTTTTCAAAGCAGCCTTGCTTTAGTGTGATGATGATTTATCGAAAGGGAGAATTTTCTCAATCTGGACAATATTTTGTTCTGTATTTTGTTTTTACCTCTTGTCCCTCGTACTTTCCCGTCTTTTCCTTTTTCATTTAATCTTGGAAGTGTGAAACTCTCCACATATATAGATAGATATGATAGAATAGATATGATTTTTTTTAATCCTTTTTGGACACTGAGTATGTTTTACTGCTAAATAGCTCTGTAAAATGACCAATCTGTAACCAAAGCAATTAGCGAAGGGCTGCAGTTTGTCTGTGACTTTGTCACAAACCAAACTTTACTTCACATTATCTTTGAGTCATTTGATTTAGTGTGAAATTAAAAAAAAGACAGTAAGTGGACCAAATGAATCATGTTTCTATTGATTCTGCTTTCTAACACAAAGTTGCTGTGTTTTTTGTGTTGCAGAAGAAGAGGAAGCAGGCAAGCAGAGATGCAGACTCCCTCAGTCTCTGCAGTCTGGCCATCAATGTAAGTTCAGCTCCTCTAAACTAACTTCTCAGTTATGGCTCAGTGTGTGCTGCCAGCTTTGGTCTTAAATATTATAGACTCTATTATAGGCTATTGTCTCAAAAAAGCAGTGAAATATGTCAGAAAATCTTTAATGCCCTTAAGTGCTGCTGACTTTTACTTTGAAAAAAGCCTAAATACTTCCTGATTCTGTGGTGGCAGGATGTTCACGCCTTAGAAATATCACCTTAAAATGGAAAACAAGTGTAACTTCCCTGCTGTTTTTGTGTATTATCTGTCTGTTCTGATATATGGTGTAGTGCCGCTCAGGAAGCATTTCTCTGTGTTGTCATCTAACGTAAATCTGCATGGGACTATTTAGTCATAATAGGTGAGCAAAGAACTTTAACAGCAGTTATTTTCTCCTGTATGTTGTGTTTTGATCATAACTTAAAGGTGCTGTGTGTTTTCTTGTAAACAAACAAATGTTGTGTTTACATTTGACGTTACTCACCATGTGTTAAATGCATAACCTTCCTTCAACAAGTCCTCCAACTTAAACGACAACACAGTTCGTATTAACCAACCTCTAAAAACGACTCATATGAGCATATCTTAAAATTGCGCCTCTACCGTTGCTGTTCCAAATACGACTCAAATGAGCGTATCCTACAACAGCGGCCGACCAGACCTTCGTTTTGAAAATCATGTGACCTACATCACATGACGTCAACACAGGAAAACCGCAGCGACACAAGGGAGGGGTTCAACGGTCGACATGCATAAAACACTGACCTCAGTTTGGTTTAGACACACACCCCTGTGAAGGTTAGGGTGAGGATAAGGTGCTTCCAAGGGGGCTGTCAGCCAGCTAGCTAATGCTACGAACCCAACGTAGCTCATGCTAATGCTAACGTAGCTAATGCTACTACGTAACTTCATTAAACTAAATATGATTGCTCATGGGAATTGAACGCCGGTCTCCTGGGTGAATGGCGGCCAGTTTATTATCCTTCCACCCAACCCACAACTACCAAATCTCCACTTTCTGGCTATTTATAATACATCATCGTCCTTGTCGTGTGTTTGCGTTGTACTGTTTTGGATTCTTTCAATAAAATAGGACAAAACATCATGCTAACCGGGAGCTAAGTGCAACAGCATTGTAAATATTTGTAGACTTGGAGGTAAGTACTTTGTTCTCTCCAGCACTGACTGTGGGTTATTGTGTGTTTGGACCCTCTGGGGCCCTCAGCCCTCGTGTTGGGCCCCTCCTCATGTACTGTACATGTCCTAGTATTTTTATCCCTCTGCCAGGAGCCCGTTCCTTCCCAGGCGTCTCCCTCCCTGCTCAGTCTAACACAGGATGTCCACCCTCTTCAATACACCCCAGTGTTTGTGTGACAAACAGACACAAACACACCATCATTCTTTTTAGTTACAAACCAGCGCCGGCAGATAATGAACCTAGGATAAATGACTCTATTGTTTCTCTACTGTCATTCCCTGTAGCTCAGTTAGTCATGTTGGGCTCTTACTGAAACTTCAGGACCTGAAGACTATTGTAACTAATTTAAAGGTCAAAAGTCATGACAGGGATTTAGATTTTATATCAACATTTCCCCCTATTGGGCAGCTCTGTCTTTGTCTGGACTTGGAATCAAATCAGAGGTTGTGGACCCATAACTTCCTTTAAAGTCATAAGTCATATATTTTCTGGAAAGATCTATGTAATTTAGTTATAATTTCAGGGGAAACAGCTATTTTAGTTACCTTAGTTGAGAAGAACTGCACTATTTAAAATAAATATGAAGTCATTTTCAATTTATAATTGAAAGCCTCATTATTCATGTACACTCAGTGGCCACTTTGTAAGGTACACCTGTACAATCTAATTCATTCCAATACAACTTTGCCATAAAGTCTACTTTTATGATGCATATAATGCAGTTCTTTTGACACTGACATAGAGGTGTTAACTCAATTATATGTTTATTATTGCGATCATATGTTAGCGTGGATGTTGTACTGGACTATACTAAACTGAGGTGTTTCTAATATTCTGCCTTCTTCGTGTATGTAAAAAAAGGTAAAACATCTCTCAAAATAATAACTTACAGTACAACACCATCTTTTGCCAAGACCTCAATTATAAGCATAAAATAGAGTTTACACATTAGCAACAATGTCAACAACAACTGAACGTTATAAACTTTGTAAAGGTAGAATTTATGGCAGAGCAGTTGTGCTGAATTGAAAGAGATTGTGAAGCTGTACCTAATAAAGTGGCCATTTAGACCATGTTACATGTTGCTTGTTACATGTTGCTCGTCCGTAGAGAAATTTAAAAAAAAATTGTGTTCAGCTGAACCGCTGTGTACTGACTAAAAAACTCTCTACTGTATGTTGCGGCAGAAATTAGTTAATTGGAGACCTTTTTATAAACTTCAAATACATTTACAGTGATTGTACATATCAGATGTTGTCAGTCATCAGTCAGTTTCATCTATGCCTGCTGATCCGTGCAGGGTGGCGGGCGAGAGGCAGGGTACAACCTGGACAGGATGTCAGACGTATTGTGGAAAATTATAGGAAACTAAAGGACCTGTAAAAGAAACCGGTACCAAGTCAACCTTTTCACATGAGTTTAACTTACTAAAAAAAATTTTATTATCATGAACAATAAACTATGTAATTAAGAGAAATCATTAAACCTTTATAAAGGGACTAACAAATCTAAAATATATAAATAAAATGGTAAAATGAGTCCTGCTTTTATTTAGAGCTGCGCTTCTTCTACTGTGGAGATTTGTATTTGGCAGCAGAGTGGTTATAGATGTTTTCACTGGTTAATTAATATCTACTGAGCCCTTTAGGATCACATGGTAGATTAACAGTTATTGATGTAGTTGAGTAAACCGAGGGCAGGGATTAGTAAACTGTGAGGGAAGATGTGTTTTCATATGGCATCTGAATCTTTTAATGAAAGCAGGCTATTTAATTATCTTAGATACTTTTTAAAGTAATGTGATTTGGTATTTTAAGGAAGCTCATTGTTTGCACAAGATGTTTTTTTTGTTTTGTGCTCATAATTCTCTATAAGGTACTTTAATGTGTTTATTCTAAATCAAAAAAATGATTTATTATCTCATAATTACAAGATATTCATAATTATGAGATAAGTAAAATAACAAAGAACTTTCTATAAGCTGCAGTTTACAATCCCAGAAAGTTGTGCATCGTGAGTACACTATAATAATATATTATGCAGTATTTAACACATTACAGTACAGAAGTATTTGATAACCTCCATATCTCTGTGCAGTTTAGGGTCCCTGTTGTCCTCCTTTCTTCGTCCAGAATTCGTGTTTTTTCTGCTTTTGTCCTTTTTCGGCAGAATAAACTAGAAACAGTGCTCCTGATCAGTGTCAGTTTCTGTTTTAGTGCAGAAACATGTAGCGTGTCTCTGTCTTTGTAGATTTCAAGTAAGACGTGTTACCAGTTTTTGCAGTTTAAAATTAAAAATAGATTATAGAGATACATTACAGAGATTTGGGATTATAGTACTTAACTTGAGTATTTTGTTTTTATTCTGCATTATTCTTCTACTATACAACAATTTAGAGGGATATGTCGTATATATATCTTTATACATTATTTATTTATTTTAAAACTTATGAAGAACCTATAATATATGACGTTTTGTTATAATTCAAACTACCCAACACTTTAAACAAGTACAGTGGAAACAATTAGTCGATTGATCAGTTAAATTGGCAGCTATTCTCATAATCGAGTCATGTAAAAACATTTAAAGCATAAAACATTTCAGTTTCTCTAATGCGAAGATTTGCTTCTGTTCCTTTTCACTTTTTCAATAATTCAAATTTATTTTTAATAATGTTTCATTAAAGGATGTTTACTTGCAACAGTTTACAGTGTGGAATTAGTACTTTTAATTAAGTAAAGGATCTGAACTTTCTCCAACTCTGTGGAAAACAACATAATGTTTATCGGGTTAAGCAGCACAAGCTTCAAATATTTCCAAGTAGCTTCAAGGTGTCCAAATAGTCGGGTTTGGTTGTTGCAGCTAACTCAGAGAGATCTACTTCCAGCCGGCTAACAAAACAAGCTGCTAGTTCATCAGCAGTAATAACAAAGATTTATTGCTTATTGTTTAATATTATATATGCTTATTTTATTATAATATTATATGCATTAAAAAGCTATCTAAAGCAAAGTGCATATGAGTGGCTTATTACCCGTAAGTGATGTTATAGAGGAGAAACCCTTCATACTGTATTTTACCACACCTCTGTTAAAGACATCTTTCTTTATGTGTAGACATGCAGCAGATGTGTCACAGTACAGATGTAATGAGGCGGGTTTGTTTGACTCAGTCACTGAATCTGTTCTTGGATCAGTAGGTGACTCTTGTTCCTCTCTGGGCGTCCACAACCCAACGGCCCCAATTGTTTAAGGACAATGGAGCTGAGTCAGAAGGGAAGCTTTTGTTAGCTGAACATGAGGTGTGTTTCATGTCATGTCAGAGGTCAGCAATGATGCTCTGATACCCATTATACATCAACTTACAATAATTCCCTGGAAACCTACTCTAACCTTAATAATGATTATTTTCTTTAGCAATTAATCAGCCAATTTTTTTTAATTGTTTTGTCCTTAAAATGTCACAAAATAGTGAAAATGCGTATTATAAGAGTGCCTTCTTCATATATACCTTTCAAAACACAAAAGGTCCATTTGCTTTAAAATTTAAAGAAATAGATAATTGCTAATCAAAATATTTGCAGATTAATTTTCTGGCAATCAACTAATCTTGTCAGCTCTATAACCACTACATAACCCAAATAATTGCAACCTGAACCTACAACCAAGTCTTCTAAAATGTAATGTTTTTGTCCCCACATGTGTGGCTCTGTCAACAGATGTATACCACATCGCCACATGAGTACTACAAGTATGCACACAAACACACACACAGGAATTGACTTAAATGGTAC